TTTAATGAGATTTCTGAGGAGTGCTCACAGCATAACAAGTATGATGAATTATGAAAACAAGTTGATTGACCAAAAAAAGCTAAAAATTGTAGAGAAATTAAATGACTGTAAGAGGTAGCAAATATACAAATAATAAATTGTCTCATCAGAAATATATGCTTTTATTAAACATGTACAAATAATCTGAGAATACCAGGTGATTGATTATCTTACCTTTTGTATATGGATTGTGACCTGACCACTGTGTTTATCTGTATTAGGTGGTCTGTATATGTAATGTGAACTGAATGATACCCAGTCATGATCAGTGCCAGTGTCATCTTTTAAGTTGTTTACCAGTACATGCATAGCATTCAGTGAGTCACTCAGTTCTGATATTTCCTATAAAATTTTATAAAATATACAACTCAGTTCAGTTCAGTTCTTTATTTTCCCATACAAGAATTATTGGAATGGAAATTATTTATTCATTGTATTTTTCTGTGCTTTGTTTCTTGTAATTACTTTGAGAGGTATTAAATCCAAGAGCTTTAACTTGATATTTTGGTGTATGTGTATTTCATTTCCAGTACTATTGTCTTGTCTACCCCATTCTAGCAGTGAAAGAACCCCCTGTCAAGTGTGAGTTCTGTGGGTGGCCCTCTCAATTGCGATAAGCAGGCCTTACACTGTGACACACACATGTGCTTTTTTTTTTATAAAATTTACTTTCCCATGTGTTATGTACTTCATATGCTATCCAACAAAAATTTGAGTTACCTTTACAACATATTAAATTCCAAAATAATGCCATACCTGTACTGATCTGTTGACTTGTTCACTGATATAATATCGATGTATATGATACATAATGGCTGGTTCTTTTGCATGGTGTAACGTCAGTGATTTAACAACATGTGGATTTCAAGCAGATTTCCAGTGAATGGCTTTTCTCCATCATAGTCTGTCTTGTAGGCATGATAAAACATATCTAAAAACTAAAAAACACCATAAACACGTAAATAACAAATGATAACAAACAAATAACATCTCGGATTAAAATAATCATCAAACTGACGAAATATCTGGTGCAGTATTCTCTCAGTGCACCAATTGAGGGCAGTATGCAATGTTTTATTATTTCCATGAAAATATAGCGTAACTAATAATAATAATAATAATAATAATAATAATAATAATAACTTTATTGCATTCTTAGAAGTAAAAATTTTCTATTAGTTTAATTATAAAAAGTTTTATTATATTTCTGTCATTACTTTTCATTAAATATGTGAATTTTTGCAGGTTGGTAATGATTTCTTTGGGGAATAAAATATTGGAAATAAAATCATTTCTGTTTGATATCGTGGGCAAACTAAAAGAAAGTGTAACTCGTCTTCAACTTTCTGTAATGGGTATTGTTTACAAATTCTAACTATTACAACCCTGCTCATTGAGAATCTGCATATTTAGAATTCAAAATGGATGCAAACTAACAATGTATTTGGGGCCTGGTTCGATCTTTGTTTTACAAGGTAAATGTCAGAATTAAAGTTCTGAAACATTACACTTACATTTGTATCTAAACAAAATTATGCATGGATATTCTGGGTTGGGTGAGCAATTCTGAAACAATGGACAATGAGGTCATAATAATTATATAAAAAATATATTAATATTCATGTTCATTAATTAATACTCTAAAAACAAGAAATTATTTGGCATAGATTTGTAATTTATTGGCTTCTAAAATTCTTACTGATCACAGATTTGTGATTTTTTGGGTTCTCCACAATTTCATCTATCTTAGACTGTATGGTTCTACACTAAACTAATAAAAAACAAACACGATTGATGAATAGTATATAAGCCCCAATACCCTGAAAGCTTTAGAGAGAACAATGTTCTACATATTGAATAAAACTTATGGAGTTACTGCTATCTAATAGTAGATATTGGAGATCATATTACTAACATCTGGATCTCATGATCAGCAATATAAATGGCTTTATTCTGTCAATTTAATGCTTTACAAATGTTTGGTTTTAAGTAAATTTTAACTCCTATCTTGCAAATTATACATGCTAAAATAGAAATTTATTGACATTTTATTGTTGTTGATAAAGTTACTGTGTTTGAAGATGATCAATAAAAAATTGATACAGTTAGTGTAAATACAAATAAAGAGCAATTTTAAATTTCACAAGTATCATGAAAAATATACATATAACACATTCCAAAATTGAACTTGGCCTAGAGTGCAAACTGGATAATGAAATATCCAAGTTTAAATATGATAACGGATAAATACTGTTTAAGTTTTAGTAACAACTAGAAAGAGATTACTCCAGAGACAACAATGTTTAAGACCAACAAAACCTCATATCTCTTTCTAATCATCTATAATATCGGCAGAGTAGAAAAAACATGTGATTGCAAATAAAAATGGTGCCTGCAACTCATTCATGTTATTGAATGTGTTATGATGTGATTTATGAAAGGGCGCCCTCTATAACTAACTCACAAAGATTAGCTGTGTTAATTCACATACCGGTACTTCGATAAAGTGATTTTGAAAAACAAAATTGTAATTTGATAAAATGAAATTCACATTTCTAAACAAAATAAGTGTAAATATGAAGTAAATCACAACATTTGTGTTTGTGCATCAAGTCATACCAACTTTCTCAGCAGTGAACAAGCCGACTCAACTTATTTTGAATATTCCATTTTGACTTTCATTCCTACAAACCCATATTATATATTTACCTTTAAGTCTATAATTAATGGTCAGTTTTATGAAAA